GTATTTTTTGCGCTTTCAAACCATGCATTGACGGGTTTGGGTTCTGCATACCGGTTATTCAGGTATTTTAATACATGTTTACTATTTGAAATGTTTCTATTCTTGCAGTTCGGATAAATTTCATACTAATTACTTCCTAATATTTAATTAGGTTGATGGAACCTTCCTTACTGGGAAGTACAGAGTAACTCTTCTCATTGCCACTGGCGTTGATGGAAACAGGCGGATTTTCCCGCTTGCATTTGCAATAGTGGAAGGGGATAACAGCTTAAGTTGGGCATGGTTCTTTGACCAACTACACGAACACGTGACACAGCGGGAGGGTATTACGATTATATCCGATAGACATGCGGGGATTAGGAATGCCGTGGGTGGTTTTCCTGACGAGTGGGGATGGACATGGCGCTGGTGTATTCGACACTGGCTCGCTAATTTCCAACACAAATTTGGAAAGAAGAAAGACATCAAAAATCAATTGTGGCATGCAAGTACTAATGTCCTTTAATGCGAGTTATCTATGTGTTTAATAATTTGTTGTTTATCATGTATTGACCATTTCTATATTGTTCACCTTGCAGCGGTTGCACATCAGCCAAAAAAGTACGAGCAGGAGATGAAGGCAATCCGTCAGACTCACCGAGCTGGAGCAGTATGGGCTGAAGGTCAAGAATTGGCCATGTGGACGTTCCATATGGACAACGGCGCCAGATGGGGCATTGCAACTACCAACCATGGAGAAAGTATAAATAATGTGTACAAGGGCCTTCGAGCGATGCCTATTTCTGTCATAGTGGAGATGTCATACTGGAAGGTCAACGAGTGGCGGGTGGCTCGGCTGCAGCTAGCGATTGGGAAGGAGATATCTGGTCATCCGATAGAACATGAATACTTCACCGTTTTAATCAAAAGCGGTGAATACTTCACCATTTTAATTTAAAACGGTGAAATATTTACTGTTTTGGTCAAACGCGGTGATAGTCTTCACTGCGTTTGTCAAAAACGGTGAATGCCAAACATGTGTAGTTTTGAGAATTTTTTTATAATTTATGTATTTTGGGAATTTTTTTTTTTAAGAACTAGTGTACTTTGGGATTTTTTCCGGCCAAGGCCACCAGTGCCTCTTCTTTCTCACGAACTCCAACCTCACCATTTCATCCCTCTGGAACTTTCACACCCTCTGATGGGCTTGAGGAATCAACGAGGCTCATCACTGCATGTGGCACTTCCCCAAATCGAAGATAGAACTTTCACAACCTCTGATTTCTGATTTCATTGGAAGGTTGTGGGAAAAGGGAAAACTTATTCGACTTTGGTTGTGTGCTTGTCTATATACTTTCTGGACTCTTACTAATTCTGTAGGTTTTCGTTTTCAAACTTGTGTAGCTCTACGGATTGGAGATATGCAGCAGGGCAGTATGTGAAGAAGCAAGCAGTTCGTATATATTGTGTTTAGTAGTTGCGTTGTTATATATGCTTAACTAATATTATGTAAATATATAATAAGCATTGTAACTCACAATGTTACATATGCTAAAATAACTAATATTATGTTAAATGTTAATACATAAAAAGCATTGTAACATAATAATGAAAATCTTTAGAAAAGCGTTGGGACGGCAATAGGGGATAAACATATTAGTCTTTGGGTTCCTCAAGATTGCTACCGTGGGCTCTGTCACAACGAAATAGGTACAACCTATGAACAATAACCCAAAATCAGAAATACTAAAATTAAATCCTGCTAAAATATCGTAAGGAACCGTGAACATAATTAAGAGGTAACTTACGCTTTTAATTATATAATAATAATAATAATATTAATAATAATAATAATGTATTGCGTGCAGTGCGTCAAGAAATGTTGGTGTGAATATGTTATGACATTGTGATATGAACTATAAGGATCAATTATGAATATATATAGTTTAATGATTAATTAGTAACATTTTCTCTTTGAAGGTGCCTACGAGGAATTCGTGTTTATGTTTAGCCTACACCCAAATATCCACTACCTCAGAGTCAACAAGCTTCTTCGTTGTCAATTACCCCCAGTTGTCGAAGAGGGGAAAGAAAATGGAGAGAGATGAAAATTTTGGTGGGACGAAAAATTTGGCGAGAGAGAAATGGTAGGACAAAATAATATTTTATGGTGGAAGGGGATATTGGGCCAGAAGAGTGAGAACGGCCCGTCTGGATGTGCGGCCTTTCAGCCCACGTCCACGTCCATTCCGCTGCGTGTTGCTCATTCTCGTTGTAACTTGGGATATATAAATCCCCCTGCTATAAGGCCTATGGCCATAACGTAATAAGAAGAAACCCTAGTTCTGTGGATGTAGGTCTCACACACTGTGAGGCTGAACCACGTTAAATCTCGTGTCTATCTCTTTTGTGTTATAGTTCGATATTTATCATGGTATCAGAGCTGATCGGTTCAGCTCTTTGATAGTTTTTCGTCTGTTAACATCTAGTCATGGGTGACGACAAGGACAAGGGCGAGAGGTCTATTGTTGGCGCCAGTCAAGTCGGCGGCGGCAGAGATCAAGACCCGCTGTCTCCGTTTTATCTTCACCCGTCGGAAACGGCCGGTCAGCTGCAGGTTGCAGAGGTTTTAACCCCTTCTAATTATGGGGAATGGATCGTGGAGATGACTGATGCTCTTATCATCAAAAATAAGTACGGTTTCGTCGACGGCACCGTTGTCAAGCCCGACGACGAGATTGGAACGCGAGCCTGGACGAGATGTGATGCCATGGTTCGGGGCTGGTTGCGTACAGCCATGGACAAAGAAGTTCGAGCTAGCGTGCGGTACGCCAGAACTTCACGCGAGATCTGGCTTGATCTCAAAGACCGATTCGGACAGGGTAGTGCGTCGCGTGCTTACGAGATCCGACGCATGGTTAGTTTGTTACAGCAAGAAAAGCTGAGTGTTTCAGCATTCTATACTCGGCTTCGTACATTTTGGGAGGAGTCACAGTCTATTCGCCCTTGCCAAAATGCACGTGTGGTTTGTGCACTTGTGGGTTGGAATGCCGAACAAAGGAACAGGATGAAGGGGCGCGATTATTTGACTTCCTAATGGGGTTAGATGATAGTTTCACCACCATTAGAACGCAAATTCTGGCAACAAAAAGCACTCCCACCTTAACGGAAGCATTCAATCTCGTATATGGAGATGAGCAGCAGAGGCTCATTGCCTAGAAGCGACGTCCGCAGGCAGAGGCAGCTGCCTTCAACGCGCGTGGCGGGACCGATCGTGGCGGTGCTGATCGCCCCAGTGCTCCGCGGGTAGCTGAAGGGCGCTTGGACGGACGCTTGGACGCGCGATCAGACGGCCGGGACAGGCCTAGCGTCAAGTGTACCCATTGCGGTAAAAGTGGGCACTTGAAAGAAACCTGCTTTGACATAATTGGATGGCCAAGCAGAGACAAAAATTCGCAAAATGGAAGTAGTGCGGGGCGTCGACGTCGGGATGCGGGCGATGATCAGCAGCCGAGAGCATCTCAAGTTGAGTCGGAAAGCCCAGTTGTTGGCTTTACTATGCAGCAGCTGGACCAGCTGAAGGTATTCTTTTCTCAAGGAATGGCAGCCGAGTCGCCAACTTCTAACATGGCAGGTACGAGTTCTCTCACATCTGAATGGTTAATCGATTCAGGATGTAATGAGCAGATAGTGTGCGATGATTCAGTTTTAAGTAATGTAGCCGTGGATTCCTCAAGTCGGTCAGTCAAAATACCGAATGGGGACAGTGTTCCAGTTGAGAAAGTGGGTTCAGTTGTATTATCATCTGGTCTGAAGTTGGACCGTGTGTTACATGTTCCTGGTTTTCGTTGCAATCTGTTGTCGGTCAGTCGATTGACGAAGGAGAATCAAGTAGCTTTAATCTTTCTCCGTGACTTTTGTATTCTCCAGGACTTACAATCCAGGAGCGTGATTGGGAGGCGGATTCTCCGTGACGGGCAATATTATTTGCGTCTATTTAATGAACAGGAGAGGTTGGCGTTTGCAGCTAGAGTAGATGGTACTTCGGCGGGAGTTTGGCATTCGCGGTTGGGGCATCCTTCTGGTGCCAAGATGACGCAGTTGAAGTCTTAGTTGTCCCCGAATTTTGTTGATGATTTAGCTCCGGATCATTGTCATTCTTGTTCTCGTGCAAAACAAGTTCAAACTCCTTTTATTTCTAGCTCTATAAAGACGTCGGCATGTTTTGATCTCATTCATTTGGATTTATGGGGTGGTTATAAAGTTGCTTCGTTGAGTGGGGCTCATTACTTTCTCACCATAGTCGATGATTATAGTCGAAGTATATGGGTTTATCTTCTTCGTTTCAAGTCGGATGTAGGGCGCCACTTGATGATGTTCTGCGAGATGGTTAAAACGCAGTTTAATCGGCAGGTCAAAGGAATCCAAACGGATAATGGAACTGAGTTTCAAACTGGTATTTTACTCGATTATTATGCTCAGCATGGGATCAGTTTTCGTACTAGTTGCACTGACACCCCGCAGCAGAACGGGGTTGTCGAACGCAAGCAAAGGCACATACTCGATACTGCTCGAGCCCTTCGATTCCATGCAGGTTTGCCCATCCAGTTTTGGGGTGAGTGTGTACTCACGGCAGTCTATTTGTTGAATTGTATTCCAACGAAGGCTACTGGGAAGACTCCCTTTGAGGTTTTGTTCGGAAAATCAGCGTCTTATAGTCACCTTCTTGTGTTTGGATGTCTTGTTTACGCAAAAGACAGCCATCATGGGTTGCACAAGTTCGCCGAACGGGGGCGTACATGTGTGTTTCTTGGGTATCCTTCTGGCCAGAAAGGATATCGTCTCTATGATCTTGTTACTCAGCAGTTGTTTGTCTCTCGGGATGTTAAGTTTCTTGAAAGTCATTTCCCTTTTCGGGCACCAGAACCCTCGCTGTTGCATTGGGTACCACCAGTGGGCAGCTCGTTCCCAGTCATTGAGGATGAATTATTCAATTCTTCCTTCACGCCTTCGTCACTTGATCAGCCGCTTGGAACAGCGGCCCCCGCGTGTTCACCTTCTCGTCCACGCCCAGCTGGGTTGGCGCCGGATGCGCCCAGCTCGTCCACGCCCGCGCCTTCACCTGGGACTCCCCGGCGGCTGCCCCTTCCCAGCAGCCAGCTGATCACGTTCCCTTGCGGCGTGGTGATAGGGTAAGAGTGAGGCCTAAGTACTTGGAGAATTACCTCACTGATGAGCAGCTGGCTCATTCGGTCACTTACCCTTTGTCCGCACATGTCTCGTATGGCCGTGTTAGCCCCGAGTACCGTGCTTTTCTCACTGAAGTTACTCGCCATGACAAACCTCGTAGTTTCAATGAGGCCGTCAAGCATGCTGTTTGGCGTGAAGCCATGGAGAGAGAGATTGCAGCTCTCATCCAAAACGGTACTTGGAGCTTAGTTGATCTTCCTTTGGGTAAGCGTATTGTGGATTGTAAATGGGTTTTCAAAATAAATTATCGTCCTGATGGGAGCATTGAGCACTATAAAGCGCGTCTAGTTGCAAAGGGCTTCACTCAGGTTGAAGGAGTGGACTATCATGATACGTTCGCCCCTGTTGCAAAGTTGGTCACTGTTCGTTGTTTACTAGCTGTGGTGGCCGCGCGTGGCTGGTTTGTTCACCAGCTTGACGTGAACAACGCTTTTCTACATGGGGATCTCACTGAGGAGGTTTATATGAGGATTCCTCCTGGTTTTGCTGCTCGTGGGGAAACGCGTGTTTGTCGGCTCCACAAATCCTTGTATGGGCTACGGCAAGCGTCGCGCATGTGGTATCAAAAATTTACTACAGCTTTGTGCGAGCTTGGTTTCCGTGCCTCCCCAGCTGACCACTCTCTGTTCGTGTATAAGCGTGGTACCACTTTTGTCACTGCTCTCATATACGTTGATGACGTTCTTCTCGCAGGTAACGACTTGGATTTCATCAACACGGTTAAGTCTTTTCTTGATCAGCGGTTCAGTATTGAAGATTTGGGCTCACTTCGGTATTTCCTTGGGATTGAGGTGGCTCGTTCCCCGCGTGGCATTGTTCTTAGCCAGCGGAAGTATACTTTGGACATCCTGGAAGAGTCTGGCATTCAGGGTGCTCGTCCTAGTCTCTTTCCGGTTGAGCAGAACCATCACCTCACTAGTTCGTCTGGTGCCGTTCTTCCCGATGGATCTGCCTATCGGCGTTTAGTAGGCCGGTTACTCTACTTGACCGTCACACGGCCTGACATTACTTATGGAGTAAACATTCTCAGTCAGTTCGTCCATGCTCCCACTCAGGCTCACATGGACGCTGCCATTCGGATTCTGCGTTATCTCAAACAGTCTCCTGGGCAGGGCTTGTACTTCCCTGCCACTGGTTCCCTTGATCTTGTTGCTTACTGTGATGCTGATTGGGGTGGTTGTGAAAGCACCCGTCGTTCTACTAGTGGTTTCTTTATCAGTCTTGGTGGTGCTCCGATATCCTGGCGCACTAAGAAACAGAAGGTGGTTGCTCGGTCATCTGCCGAAGCTGAGTACCGTGCCATGGCTAGCACAGATTATATGGCTCCGTTGGTTACTTGCCGAGCTCGGCGTTCCCCAGACTTCACCCACGTCACTCTACTGCGATAATCAGGCTGCGCTTCATATTGCTGCAAACCCAGTCTTCCACGAGCGTACTAAACACGTGGAAATGGATTGTCACTTTGTCCGTGAGAGAGTGGTGTCTCGTGATGTTGCGACCTGCAAGGTCAGCTCGCAGTTTCAGCTTGCTGATATCTTCACCAAAGGGCTTGGTTCCGAGCGTTTTCAGTTCCTCCTGTCCAAGCTGAATGTTCGTGACCTGCACAGTTCAGCTTGCGGGGGCGTATTGGGCCAGAAGAGTGAGAACGGCCCGTCTGGGTGTGCGGCCTTTCAGCCCACGTCCACGTCCATTCCGCTGCGTGTTGCTCATTCTCGTTGCAACTTGGGATATATAAATCCCCCTGCTGTAAGGCCTATGGCCATAACGTAATAAGAAGAAACCCTAGTTCTGTGGATGTAGGTCTCACACACTGTGAGGCTGAACCACGTTAAATCTCGTGTCTATCTCTTTTGCGTTATAGTTCGATATTTATCAGGGGAGGATAGAAGTGAAAGGTACAAAGTGAATTGGAAAGTTTCATATATTATTTTATTAATGTAAAAAATTAACTAAAATAGTTTGTTAATACTACTATGTATTGTGAAAACTTCACTTTCACTAAACTTTGTCACTATTTTTAAATAAAAAACATTGGATTTGAAAAATAATGCAACCCAAAACAACCATCTTTTCTCTCTCCTGCGCCTTCTAGGCTTCTACACCTCCCAAACTCTAAACCTTCACTGTCCCAAAATAGCTACCTTCAACCTCAGCTCATCCAATCATACAACGACGTCATCTTATAGGCTAAGTCGTCCATGCATGGACGAACAAAAATCGCTTACATCGTTAAAACACAAGTGGTATGCCCATGAAACTCCTCGTTACGACCCTCGGAGCCGCCGAAAATCCTCAAAATAAGCTTTGATACTTTTCATCCTTTTTTGTCAAGGAGTTCCAATCGAGAAATGGTCAATTTAACACATTCCTAGTCACGGTTGAAAGAATTGATGAAGGTTTCGGTCATTTTCATGTCAGTGGCTCGAGATATCACGATAAAACATAGTTTATGGATGATCTAATTAATAATGAAATTAAGTAGTGTAAAATGTTCACCAAATAAAAAAATCAAGAGTAAATACAATATATTAGCTAAAACTATAAACGAGTGCAAAATAATAGCCACAACTGTTGAAAACATTAACTCTCTGTTAACAATTTCGTTACATATGCTGACTAAACTTTACGATGTTGAGCTGGCTTCCACATGGTAGTCACCATGTCATATTTGAATTTTAAAAATAAATTATTAAATAATTACGAAAATGAAATAAAAATAATAATTCTAGAAATTAAAAGAAAATCGTTAGTGCTGCTCCCTTTTCTTATTCCTCCGCCCAGATCCACCAGCACTTTCCTCCTCTTTTGTCCATGCCATCGCCACCGGCCAGGCACGACTCCACATTCACTCGTCATCGCTAGATAGGCTAGCCATTCAATCCCCTCCTCCACAGCAATCCGTAAAAAAATGTCGAATTCCCATCTCCGTAACCCTAACCCTGATCGAATCTCGCGCCTCCCTCGTCGTTCTGGTCAACAAGCTCCTCCGTCATCCCACACTACAAAAAAGGCACACAGTTTTGACGAAAATTTTCTAACGACAGTAAAAATGCACATAAAATGTGTTTTTTCGACGAAAAATTGTTATCGTTAGTAATGCTAACATTATTATTGACAAAAAAAATAAGTCGTCAGAAATGATAAAATTTCCCTAAGTAAACACCAGATTTTGAAAATCAAGTTTCGAATTCTAACTATTTATGATGGTTTTTTTGTGGCGTCAGAAATAGTGCTTATTATTGACGAATGTTTTTTGGTCGTCGGAATAAGTAAAAAATTACCGTCGGTAGTTATTTTTGTCGTCATAAGAAAATAGGGACAAGCTACGGTGCTAACCTCATAGAGGGTTAGCACCATGCTAACAAAGGGCAAATTAGAGAAACAATAAAAATTTAAAATAGGGAAGTTAATGTTATTTTCTAGGGAAATAAAAATATAATTTAATTCCATCTGTTACATCTTTCCCCATTTTCCTCAATCACGTCTCTCTCTCTCTCTCTCTCTCTCTCTCTCTCTCTCTCTCTCTCTCTCTCTCTCTCTCTCTCTCTCTCTTATGGAAAACGATCGGCTCTAAGAACATTATTAGCTCTACAATTAGCTACACATGGGCATTTGCCACTATCATCTTATAATTCACTGAAAACACTACTATCTCTGTAAACCGTTACTAGATTCATGAAAATGTGGTTTTTCTACTAAGATCATTAAACATTACTACCTCTGAAAATATTACTAAATGTTGGTACTGGTCTTGCGTCCAAAGTCATTATTCTTTTGTTTCAAGATTTGTAGTGGTTTATTAGTAGAATTAAGGCATGTAGTATTGATTTTGTGATTTACTAGCAGTGATTTTGATAATTAATTAGTAGAATCAGGCAAATTACTACTGTCAAAAGTCACAAATCTCAACTAATACATAACAAGAACCACTATGGCGACTTTTTGCAACACAATCACTACATAAGAATCACTACTAATGTTCAATAAATAAAAATTACTACTAATGCTAGATATGAAAAACACTACAAGTTTCTGGAAAAATTGGAGAAGACTATCAAAATAATGCCCAAAAATTATAAACCACAAAAACCATATATCTAAAGAACACTATTACAACGTTCAAAAGCCTACTACTCGCAGAATCACTACAAATGATTATTGATATGAAAAACACTACTAGGTCCTGCAGAAATTAAAGAACAATACAAAGAAAATGCCCAAACAATAAAAAAAGTACCACTATAGATCTGTAGAACCCAAATATTGTGTATAATAATAAAGAACACCGTATAAATATTTCAATCCAAAATATTGCAAAACACTACTACAATAGAGTGAAAAAATACTACTAAATCTGATGAAACACTACTAGTCTTTGAAAATCACTACTACTCTTAAACTGACTAAATAGTAATTAAACAAGACATATACCAGATCTGGAATTCCAAACACACTTAAATGCCTCCAATATGGAACTTCAATCCACCTATAGTCCAAACGACGTAGGCAAGGCGGATGCAAACGACATAGGGGAGGCAGATTTAAACGACGATGATGCCGGTGAGGGCGGCGAAGGCAAGGACGACGCAGATGACATCAGCGGTGGCAAAGGCGGCGCATGCAACATCAATTCATCGGATGGCGACGAAGGCGATGTTGTTGCAGACGACGGCGACGCAGGAGAGGGAGGCGCTGAGGACGGCTACGGTGATGAGAAGGCAGACATCGCGAGGGCCAAGGGTAGAGAATAAAGAAATGGGTTCCGGATCGTGAGACCGTGAGAGAGAGAGAGAGAGAGAGAGAGAGAGAGAGACGATGAAGAAAAGGAAATTAGCTAAAAATGTGGAGCAGTTTATTGGCTTCATCACCTAAATATTCGTCTACGTTTATTTCAAGGGAGCAATCACATGTGTGGTTTCCCAAAATACCCCTCCACCAAAACCACTCTTAGTTTGACGGAAATATAAATTAGTGGGGTTGGGAAGAGTTATTACGGTGCTAACCCATTATATGGTTACCATCCCATCCCAAGAAAATACTATTTCTAACTGTTAAAAAGTTTCTACTAGAATTTGTTTTTTGTTTCGACGAGTTCTCGCAAACGTCAAAATTGATTGTCAGGAAAAAACAAATTTTTTGAGGCAGCCAAAACAATCATCAGAAATAGTCAGTTTGTACTGACGGCAACCCATGTTCATCATTAATAATCCGTGAAGAAAAAATATTATTACTGACATGGCAGACTAATTTTTCAGAAATTACGTACTACGTAGTAAGGAAAAATGAAAACGGTTACCAAAAAACTTATTTCTAATGAAGCTCAATTATATCAATGAGAACACACCTTCTCGAGTTGTGTACATACCACTCATTTTCTAGTTATATGTGTTTAGGAACTAATATTTTAGTTCTTGAATCATTTTTTACCTTTTAAAATTATGATTTGGGTAATTACTAATTTTGAGAGAAACTTAACACGAGAAAACTATTAGTCTATTGACAATGACATTCCGTATACCATATATATTAAAAATATTACAGATATAAATTTAGTGGAAGATGTTAATATGATTATTATTAGGCGCATAGCCCAACTAGTTATGCCTTTTAATTAGGGATTTAGACAAACCTTCTCCAAACCCGCTCCATTGTCTTCCCTAGTTTTGAACCATGGACATCTACGTCACAACCTTCCCTAGTTTTGAACCATGGACATCTACGTCACAACTTGTGACGTAGATGTCCATGGTTCAAAACTAGGGAAGGCAATGGAGCGGGTTTGGGGAAGGTTTGTCTAAACCATCTCATCCCCGCTTTCAAATATCTATACTCATACCCATGCGGAGAAGGTTTTGCAAACTCATCCCCATACCCATAGGTTTCGGGTACCCATGGGTAATACCCGCCCCGTACATCCAGCATTATAATACCGAATATTTACATGTAGATTTTCAATTATAACATTAAATGCACCTACTATATCATGAAGCCTACAAAGAGACAATAATTTTTAATACGATTCAAAACATTTTATCGTAAATCGTCCATTAATCCATATAAGAGTAGAGTACAATGTCATCCAAATCATTATTCTCTACACTAATACATCTATTAAGTAATAATTAACTAACATAATTTTGTTAAAAGGGGAAAAAGTGAAAGAGTGAAGGGAAAATCGAGAGAAAGAAGTTACATTTTGATTTAGGTGGCCACTCAATTGCATTTCTACTATATATTTTTCTTGAGTAATACTCACTATTATTGATAGGTTGCAAATTGATTCACATATTTTTCATATATGAAGAAATATTTTTGGTGGGACGGGTATGGGTATGGGTATGAGGCGGGGGAAGCTAAAACCATACCCGCCCCATATCCATCAAACTTTTTGCGGGTTTTACCCATACCCGCGCCATACCCAGTCAATGCGGGGATTTCCCGCGGTGACTGGGTCGGGGGCGATCGGATACACATGGGCATGGGTTTGATTGCCATCCCTATTCTAAACTAAGCAAAAGCAGTTATTTTCCTTAAGCAAAAGCAGTTATTTTCCTTCTTTTATTCGTTTTTCAAGAAGCGAGTGGTAGCGGGTATGTAAACTCTTTTAAGGCTTGAGAAATCCATTCTCCCCATTAACCTTAAGACCATCCATAATGTGGTAGGCTAACTAAAGTAGGAAAGTGGGCAAATTTCCCCTCAATGGGGTAGGAAAAAATGGAGAAAGGGGGGAAGAAGAAAAAAGAGGGTGGATGGCATAGTTCAGGAAACCATACGGCATATCATGCCGAATTCCTTTTCAGTAGGGTATTTTGTGGTACGACCATGATCCAACCGTTTCGTATACTGTTTTTGAAATAGTAAAATATTTTTTGCCAAAAAATCATACCGATATAAATATACTACCGTACCAAAGTAATATCGGATTATACCGGAATATGTCGGATAATAAATGATAAAATAGTAAATAAACAAGAATATCTACCATATTTTTTATCCTTAGAAAATAAAAGAAAACTATTTTGTATTTCTGTTTTACTTTTTTAACAATATGATGCATATTAAATAATGTACAAAACCCGATAAACCCCACCTCAAAAACCATCTAGCTGTTATGAAAATTATTCTGATGCTGGGAATAAGCAATACTATTAACACGAAATAGAAGAGAAGGAGTAACACCACTTTTATTCCATACTCTCGTATCCCTATTATAGAGGATTGTAGACAGAGAGATACATGGAGAAGTGAGGGAGAAGAGAAGTTTGTTGGTGTATCTCCATTTGTCTTTTTTGCTTGCCTTTTATAGGCAATTGAACATATGCATCCCAACTCATTTCCTTATCATAAATGAAATAGGTGGGAGGTTATGAAGGTGGTGGTTTGGGATTGAGTGCAGGAGGAAGGACATCCACATACATATTCTATAATACTCTCCCTTGGATGTCCATTGATAAAGAACATGCCTCGTTAAAACCTTACTAGGAAAACCCAGGGGGATAAAAACCTAGTGAAGGAAAAAGAGTACATGATTCTTTTGTTACGCCTTTGTATACTGCCTCATTAAAAACCTTACCAGGAAATTCTAGTGGAAAAAACCTTAGTTAAGGGGAAAAGAGGGCAGTGCATAAAGTCTCCCCCTTAAGGAGAGATCTATCAACATCTTCCCCCCAGGGAGAGATCTATCAATAGTTTGAAGTCTTCGAGCTCCAATATATTTTCACATGACATTGTGGAAGGTAGTATATTTATAGACAAATTTGCTGGATAGTCATTTAACAAACTTTGTTGGTTCACCAATTTTTCATGAAGTTCATTATTGAAAAAACAAACTTCGTTAAAAATATCCTCATATGTATCTTTTCAGAAGATACATGTAATATCACTTTCATATATGATTTTCTAGATCAATCTTTGATATAAAAGTCAAATAATGGATTACTTTATCAAATAGATCATTATTCTCATAGTGATCTTAATCATCAATATATCTTACTCATTCTTATCATTTGTGCACCTTTTATATATTTCTTGATGCACATGACTTTCCCTTGCAAATATTTGATTTGAAATCCAGGGGATAGTCTAGTTCTTTCAAGTTATTGATTTCAATTACTTTTGAATAATCTTCTAGAGTTTCAAGTCAATCAATAACTTCGTATCTTTGAATACTCTTCTAGAGTTTCAAACATATTTATACCTTTAATCTCAACTTGAAATTATTGTTTACAAATGTGTCGACACCCAAAAGGTGGCAAAGAATATGTCAACAAATTGTCATGAGAAGTTTGGCTCTTTCAACCAATGATTCTTTGTCAGAACACATGAAGCTATCATTGGAAGATATTCTAGGTAATTCATCTGTCTTCCTCAAATTATAATAAGAATATGGAATTTGAGATCATTTGTATTTCTCCTATCTCGTAGAAACTTCATTGAGATAGTTATTCCATATATATCGATGCTCATTCAATTTGTTTGAGGGGAAGATTCAATATGCTTGAATAATGTTCTCCACAATCTCAACATGTTTGCTTCAAGCAAACTAACTCCTTCAGAGAGTTCCATATGAATTTCATCATTAAGCATGCTTTAGTATCAACATTCATTAGACGCATATATAACTTAGTCACTCCTTTGTGATCATTAATTACGCCTAGCAGTAGGCTTACTAAACTTGGCAAATGAATTATCATTGAACTTCAAGTTCACAATACAAATGTGAGGATCATAATTCATTTCAACCAATTTTAGAATCAGCTGCTTATTTTTCTCCCCTGATATTGGAAAGATCTAAATAACGATATCAACAAATATCATACGGTTGATTTACTAATCTGCAAAATAATGGAGACTGCTTTCTCAACATTAGTTTCCAATATCCTTTGAAGAACCTATCTTTTTAAATTGTGGTGGAACAATTTACAACATATAATCCATCATAAAGTCTTCGATGAGAATTTTAAGGTTCCTCACCAAAACCAATTTGTACAGGGGTTTAGTAGTGACAACTTCTTGGCATGATGCGAAATCGATACTGCTACATGCAACTGGCATGTCTTCAATAAGTTGTTTCACATGCTTATGCACAAGCATATGCTACATGACATTTGATATCGAAACCAATAATATGAGATTTAAATACACCAATAATCATCGAGAAGTATTCTCTTCATATTGAACATTCGTTCATATATGCCCGTAAGTGAATCAATTGTGCAACCAATCTTGCAAACTTTAGGTTGCAAGTGGAGTGATGATTTAGACGATGCATCGATAAAAACCATAAAATAACTAAATGATCCATATGGTGCGTTGATCCAATAGTTTCACATTGTATATACTGATTACTTCTCACTTTCATAGGTGATCTCATAATCAACTTTTCTTGAGAATATACAGCACAAAAAAAAATCCTTCATTGTGGAATCTTTCATAATATTCTCATCAAAGATTTTCATGAATCTTTAATTTGCATCATAACTGATCTGGGATGGCCCATCTGGTCATGCCAAGCAATCAATTTATAACAAACATAAACTTCAGGTTTATGGTTTGTTTCATTACCTTTTGCTTTAGGAAGAAGGACTAACTAAGAGTAGTAATTCAACATAATAACAGGTATTATGCAATACGATAAGAATAAGGATACCAAAAGCGGACGCGGTCGAAGTGGTACGGCTCTTTGACCTCAACTAGAACGTTATAGGTTCGAGCCCCATTGATGCCAGATTTCGAACCCTAAAGATTCTTTTAATAAACCATATCACTATATGTGCTAGATATGCTTCTGGCATTTAATGTTGATTATGCTTACGATATATTACCCTACCAATAGGAAACTGTTGGATACAACATATAACACAATATCTCAGTATTGTCGCCTGATAATTTTGATATGCTTCTGGCATTTTGTGGGTAACGTCGACCGACATATTGCCCTACCTCTTTTGTTTCTTTCCAAAATTTCAAACCAAAATCTTCTCAATATTATCCGAAATCTACAACATCAACATCCTTATCTTATCCCCCCTTTTTCGGCTATAAAACAA